CAGATCCTCTTCTCCTCGGCAGCTTCCCCTTCGTGATGGATCTGAAATCAAAGCAAGCTGTTTTTAACATGCACGCATATCAGACTCAGGTAACCAAAACTTAACTCTGGCAACTAAACGGTTTGATGCGTGTTCTCCGACCAGCAGAAGCTGCACTGACACACTCAGAATGTCTTCTTACATTTTCTAGTGTCTCTCTGTTATTGCACAGCTTTGAGGAAGAGTCACTCTGTACTTCACTGCACACACCGTATTTATTTATATATATATTTAGCAGTATGTCTAGTATATTATACTGTAGTAAACTCCTAGAGTAAAGTAAACTTCTAAATTCCTGGGGTGAAACTCCCCCTACTTGGCCTGAATACCGCCACATGTCTCTGGGTCCTGGACTTTCTAACTGAAAGATCCCAGTCTGTCCAAGTCAGAAAGAACATCTCCAACTTCATCACACTGAGGACTGGATCTCCTTAAGGCTGTGTACTCAGTCCGCTGTTGTTCACACTGCTAACACACGACTGTGCAGCCACACATGAGGGGATCCAGGTCATCAAGTTTGCAGATGATACCACAGTAGTGGGACTCATTTGTGAAAAGAAAGAATCAATGCACAGAGATGAATTGAAATACCCAGAGGGCTGGTGCAGCAAGAACAACCTGGAGATGATCATTGACTTCCGAAGGTCACGTCCTGAGCATGCTCCTCTCAGCATCAGCGGCTGCACAGTGGAGAGAGTGGAGAACATCAAGTTCCTCTGAGTGCAGATCTCACAGGACCTGAGCTGATCATCAATCGATCCCAGCAGAGACTGCGTTTCCTGAGGAGGCTAAAACAAGCCTCTCTCCCTGCCAGCATCGTCAGGACTTTCTACAGAGGTGTGGTGGAGAGCGTTCTGACATCCTGCATCTCCACATGGTGCTCCAGCTGCAGTCTGTCAGACAGAAAAGCCCTGCAGAGGATAGTTAGAGGAGCTGAGAGGCGCATCGGAGTTTCCCTCACCTCTGTCCAAGAACTTTTCCAGAGCCGCTGCAGGAGCAGGACACTGAACACTGTCAGGGACTCCTCACACCCTCTCCATAAACTGTTTGAACTGCTGCCATCAGGCAAACGTTTCCAGAGCATTAAAGGAAGACCCTCCAGACTGATCAACAGCTTCATGCCACAAGCTGTCAGAATGCTGAACTGCTGATCCAGATATGCAAACACTTCTTTATTTAAATTGCTTTAAATTATTGGATCCTGAAGAAACGCTCTCTCATCTTGCCTGTACTACTGTGTGTGTACAGCAACATGACAATGAACTTGATTTGATTTGATTTAGTATACCGTAGTATTTACTATATGATACTGTATATAATGTATTTTACTGCCTCTTTTGCTCATCTGCTTAGTTGCTAAACTTCATTTCATTGTCTTGTTAAACCTAATTTATAACTTTTTCTCTCAGTCAGAAAAAATGTTTCTGTTTTTGTTCAGTGTGATTAAAACNGCCACTTTAGAAGCACACCACTAGAATATACACGTACATACCAGTGGAATTCAGGAAAACCACATCATGCAACACAGCTGACTCATCTGAAGGATAACTTTTGTTCTGTTGTTATTCCAGACGTCACTAATGGTGCCATCATTCAGAACATCTACGCAGGAGGAAACTGTTCATTTGCAACCTGCACGCCTCATCAGGTACCTGCACAAGCACACTGTACGAATCGTAACTGAGTGAGGTGCAATGATGCTTTCAATGCAGTTATTTTATCACTTTTCTACAGCGAACATGAACATTTTCTTGTTTCTTCACAGGACAACGGCTCAAGCTGCTGTGAAAACAACACGACGCAGCTTGACGCAATTGAGAATATGATCGATGAATGGGCCGCTAAATGCCATCAAGCAGAGTCCTGGGCAACGATGAAACAGTAAGTATGACGCAGTTATTCTTTGGTGTTTGATTATTGATTTGGCTGCACAGCTGTGAACTCTCACAGGTGTTAAATAATCATGTCAAACCTTCACAGGGACATTCACAGGATGTTTTCCTCTGCAGCATGTATGAACCGAAGCTTCCTCGACCGAAGGTAAAACTGAGTTCTTGTGCTGAGTTATGACGTTTAAATCTACACTCTAAAAAATTGTCCTTTTTTTTTTTTTACTGTTATTTTAAAGGCTTTACCTGTTTTGTTAAATTAAACGTAATAGCCAACAAATGAAAGAATTTTTATTAAAATGTACATGTTAATGCCACATCAAAAATATTCTTACAATTGGTTTTTCATTGTTTTACCATTTCTGACTAAAATTACGCATTTTTTACTGTATTTAAATTAACAAAACTATAATTCTTTTACTGTTATCTGCCTGATTGGATAGAAAAATATATATATATTAAGGACAGGAAATTGGGAAATCATATTTATTTGTTATTTTACAGATTTTTTCCTGTTTTATTAAATTACAGATAACATATAGTGAAATCACAGGAAGAAAATAATGTACATATCAGCTGTAAAACAAAGTCAGAACAGTCCAAACTGTACATAATGTCTACATCAGAACCTAGTCTTCTTTTACACTTTACACTGGATTTAGCTCAGAGAGAAAAAAATCCTGTATTTTAGAAGTATTTGCTGTTTTTAACTTACTTTTTCTGTCTATTTTACATATTTTGTATTTTACAGTGCACTCATTTGTCTTTTTGTCTTCTTAGCAAAGACAAACACTTCCAGACTTCACCGAACTACTCCGGTTTGGACTTGTCGCTCGCACACCGTGGTTTTGGGAAACTGGTGCAGTCGGATGCTGTTTCTGCAGAGGTACGACACTGACATGTGACCTTGTTTGTTTGTTGTGCGATCAGACGCTGAGTTTTACCGTCTGAACAGGTGGAGGCAGCTGTCCTGGAGCTGCTTCAGTCTCTGGATGAGGACCCGGTGGGGCTGGAAGGACTCAGGATCTTCCTGCTCCTCACTGAGCTTCTGCACGCGATGCAGAACCGAAGAAGACCAGAGAGCATGAGGCTGGCCGAGGCCATCGCTGCTGCTGCTCAGAGACTCTCTGCTGGAAGCCTCCAGATCACAGGTAGGTAACACTGTCTAACATGAAACACTTGGTCAGAGATCTGCTGTATAATATTGCAGATTCTTAATTAACAGTAAATAAAACAAAAATAAAATGTGATTAATTAGATTTTTTTTTTGCATCATTGTGACATCATGTCCAATAGACGTTTAAAACAGTTGCAAAAACGCCTCACGCCTACAAACAGATGCAAAAGAACAACCGAGAGATCCGAGATTACTGCAAAACACAAAGAGATGCAAAGTAGCTGCCAAGATGACGGCAAAGACATGTAAAATGACTGCAAAAAGACATCAAACGATCACAAATGTGTGTAAAAATGACTACAAACGCAACCACAGGCGGGAAAAATAACCAGAAAGATGTAGAAAACAGCTGAAGAAAGAGGCTAAATGATGCCAAAGATGTGCAAAATGACCACTAATAAATAAAAAAGCAACCACAAGGAGGAAAAACATAATGAAAAATATGCACAAAATAAAAAAAATCACATTTTCTTTGTAGTGTTTGAAGAACTATTTTGAAAATCTAGACTTGGATCTACCAAAATGTTTGTTTTTGTGGTAAAACTTCAATCAGATGCAACAGTTCAACAAAAAATAACTCCATTTCCATTTTTAGTGACCGACTATTTCATATTAAAACTATTCTACATGTTTAGTTTCGTATTACTGTGACCTGCAGCTACATGTGGTTCAGTAAATATCACCAGCTGACTTTTTTTATTCATGTAGTTTTTAACGACCACTTCATATTTTCTTCATATTTTAACTCACCAATACTCAGAGCTTATTTGATCAGCTTGTCCAGTATTGCAGATCCTGATTCGATGCCACGATGAGAAATAACAGTGAACAGTTCAGGATTTTATCTTTAACGGTTTCTGAGATATCGTCGTTCAAACTGCCTCAAATTTCCGTCTGCGCTGGTTCATGTCGTCCTCAGGAGTCTGGTGGTCCTCGCTGGGGCCCTCCACCATGACCAGACACGTCAAAGTGTGGAAAAATGTCCTCTCTGGGCTGCTGTACTTCCTCCCTGTTCCTCGTGTATCGGTCCAGAACGTGCTGCAGATCCTCCAGAACATGTACAACGTCAGTGTCGTCACTCTACACCACTGGTTCTGCTCACTTTAGCTACAATGGTTTAGTTTTTGCCAGTTTTTTTACCTCATGAATGATTAAAAAAGTCAAATGAAAACCGTGCTCATTTCCAAACCGCATTTGCTCGTGTTGAAGGCCAACAAAGAAAAGAAGAAAATCCCCGAGGCGAGTTTTGGGGCGGACATTAACCCGCAGTTTCTTGGACAGGATCTGCAGCTTTGGAGAGCAACGACAATAAACAAGGTGAAAACTAAAGTGGTTTGTCTCAGCAACATCTTCAGCTGGTGCAGAGTTCATTCACATGAAAACAACAGTTTTAGTTCATTTTGGTGAAGCTAAACTACTGCTGTGCTCCAGTGTTTCCAG